TGGACCCACAAAAGGATAATACCTCTCCTGTGCAAAGAGAGGGGAGTAGGTCTCTGAGAGCTTTGAAAAAAGTGATGCATGAATATCAACTAGTGGATACCTGGAGAATAATGCATATATGAAAAGAACAGAGACTATACCTTCTTCTCCTAATGCCACATGAGATATATCTCGAGATTAGATATACATCGTAATAGAACATCAACTAATAGATCATCTGGTAAAAATTGACATAGAGACAAGGACGTTCTCGGATACACGCTCCGGTCGGGATGGAAGTTGAGATGGGGAAGAAGGTGGACGGGAGAATTAGGGTGGAGGTTAAATGAGGCTCTTCTTCTGGATGAGGATGTAGTTCAGAAAAATCGAGAAAGAGATTTAAGGTCATACTTTAAGGAGAGACGAAACAGAGGAAAAAAACGGTTATCGATAGCTACAGTCTGGGAATGTCATAGAGAGTATTCATAAGACGGAATCTTGATTGCGGCCTGGAGCAAGGAAGAAAAAGGAAAGAAGAGAGAGGGTCAGTGGGCTCTTAAAAGAAATATTGGACTTGGAGCAGATCCATAAGAAGAAAATAACAAAAGATACGAGACAGTAACTTACTGGATAAAAAAGAGGAGCTAGAGAGGTTGTTGATGGGATGAGGAGAAGAGAAGAGATATATAACAGGGTTTTTGAACGAGAGGTATAGATGGGGAGACAGACCAGGAAGATATCTAATGAGAGCTTTGAATAAAAAAAAGAGAAAAATAGGAATTATATAGAAACAGATAAAAAGTTCAAAGGGGGAGCTGGTCCACTCAAATAAAGAGATATTAAAGTGTCTTTACGGAGTATTACAAAAAGTTATATAATAATTAGCCCCCAAGACCCTCTAAAAGAAGCCAAGAGGGAATTAAGAAAAAAAAGAAGACATACTCTTAAAAAATGCGGGATTACCAAAACTAAGTGAAGCACAGTTGAACTCCCTAGACGTAGAAAAAATCTCCCAGCGAAGAATTTAAAATAGCATTAAGAAGTACAGGAGGGGGAAAAAGTCCAGGTCCGGATGGCTATACAGTTAGGTACTATAAGCAATTTAGTGAAGTATTGTTACCAAGCTGGAGAAATGATATGAATGCTCTGTGGAGTGGGATGGAAGTGAGGAGAGAATCCCTACAGGCACATGTAGTACTTATTCACAAGGTGGGTAAGGACCCATCGCAGTGCTCCAGCTATAGACCTATCTCACTATTGAACACAGACACTAACTGTATGCAAAGGTGTTAGCAAACTGGTTGAGAGATCTGATGCCTGAATGAGGATCCACGGAGATCAGGTTGGGCTTTTGTACCGGAGAGAAGGTAGAATAACGGCTTGAGAACCCTGATGCTTATTCAGAAGAGTAGAAGAGGGAAAGCCTCCGGTGGTGCTCTTGTCGAATTGATGCGGAGAAGGCATTTGATAGAGTGGGACTGGGCTTTTATGATGGATAACTTAAAAGTGTTGGGGATAGGAGATAGAATGCGAGAGTGGATAAGTAAACTATATAGGGAGCCTACTGCAATCATCACGGTAAATGGGGAGAGATCAGAACCCATTGGAATGAGTCAAATGGTACAAGACAGGGCTGTCCTCTGTCCCCCCTGCTATATTATTGTCACTCGAAACCTCTGTTGTCAATAATAAGAAATAGTGGATCGTAAAGGGAATTCAGATAGAACTCCATAGAACATAGAGTAGCGGCCTTTGCGGGACGACGATTATTGTTATTCTACGTGGGGAATCCCCGAATAACTCGTCCCAAATATAATGAAGATTCTGAAGGAGTAACGGTGAACTATCAAATTTAAAAATTACCCATCAACGAAAACAGAGATCCTGATATTAATATATCAAAAGGAAGAAAAAAAGAAAAATTACAAAAAGAATTCCCCATTATATGGAGAGAAAAAAGAGATAAAATACCTAGGAATAAAACTCACTACCTCATCTAAGCATTTGTATAGATTAAACTATATCTCTTTGATAAATGAAGAATCAGGAAGATTTTTTAAAAAGACTTGAAGGAGGGAAATCCATCCTGGATAGGACGTATAAAACTTAGTCAAAATGGTAATTATGTCCTAAATTACTGTATATATTTCAAATGGTACCACAATTAAAATTCCAGAAGCCTTCTTTAAGATATTGAAAAAAAATGTTAACAAGATACATATGGAAGAATAAAAAACCTAGAATAGCATATGAAACATTGAGTAGGACTAAAGAGAAAGGGGGCTGGGTTTTACCAGTTGTCAAGAGATACTATAAGCAGTGGTTTTGCAAGAATATATGACTGGACATTTAACCATAAGGGGAAAAGTTGGGTATACAATTGAAAATGATCTTAGAGGCATTAGATTGAGTCAGATGGATATGGGTCCCACCACAGTTCAGGGGAACCAAAGAAAGCACAAGTATTTACACTTTAAATGTTTTTTAGGTGTATGTGGGACAATTTACATAAAAATATGAAATGGGATATTTAATTCAATATTAATGCCTCTCACGAATTCTGAGTACTTTCCTCCGGAAAGAACAAGATATCGGGAGATGGTTTAGAAAGGAGGATACCAACTGAGAGATGTATTGGTGGAGGGGGAAATTGAGATCACTTAAAGAGTTAATAGAGACGAAGGGAGACATTTTTTTAGAATTGGATGAGTGGAAATACCATCATATTGAAAAGTTTTATGTTGGAAAACTACCGAAACCTTTGAGATATAAAAACAGGAGTGGAATATGTTTGAAAGGTTGTTGGAGACACGAAGGGATGGGAAGCACGGTATTTCAAAAGTGTATAGAATACTCACAGAAATTAGTAGGGGGGGGGGGGGGGGGGGGGGGGGGGGGGGGGGTACACAAACACAAAGTTAAAACTCCCCTTTATGACAAAATGGGAAAGAGATATGGGAGTTGGGTTGATGAGATAGATAGACAGAGAAAGATGTTTAGATTGATACACGATAATGTTAGTAAATGAGAGAGGTGGAGGTTAATTATAAGTGTGTGACACGATGGCACCTCACACCGAGTGTAGAACACAAGATGAATGGGGAAAGTTCAAAATATGTGTTGGAGAGGATGTGGGAGATATAGGCACGGTGTTTCACATATGGTGGGAATGTCCGAAAATCCCGGCTTTTTGGAAGACAATAGTCAAGTTGATTAAAGAAATAACGGAAATTGACATAGGATTAGACCCAACGACGTGTCTCCTACACAATGTGGAGACATCTGTAAATAAATATAAAGATTCAGGTATTTGGTACTTCTTGAATGCGGCGAGAGGGCTGATACCCAAGTTTTGGCGGAAAGTCGAGGTACCGAAGGAGGTGGACTGGATTAACAGAGTAAACCAGATAGGTAGAATGGAAAGATCATATCATATGCAGGAAGATAGAATGAGAGTTTATCTCAGGAGATGGGAAAAGTGGGAAAGAGCAGGATTGAAAGAGAAATATAGGAAAACATGAACAACGATGTTAACAAAAAAATTAAAAAAGCCTCAAGAGAATAGAATGGGTTAGAGTCTGCAGAGGGGGAGGAGGGTGGGAAGGAGGGGTAGTGGGATGGGAAAGAAAAGAGTTTTTAGTAAGGGAAAGGCAGAAATTTTATAAATGTCTATCTGTATGAGAATTACTTCCCTTTTGAGTTTTTGTATTAACATGAAAAATTTAATAAATATTTAAATTAAAAAAAAAAAAAAAAAAAAAAAAACACTCCAAAATGCTGCTAAATGCTACTAAATGCTCCTAACAGCTTTTTTTCTAGTCTTTTTTCTGCCTGTACTGTAAAAATGCTAATAAAGCGCTGACGCTTCTAAACGCTACTAAAAATCACTATTACCAGCATTATTTACCCAGTGTTTTTTCCATCTTTTTTTTAGTGTGCATGGAGCCTAAGGGCTGGTTCACACTATAGAAACGCAGTCCAGATGTGTTCTAGATGCGTTTTTGCAGGCGTGTTTTGTGACGCATCTTTGGCGCGTTCCAGTGCATTTTTTATGCATTCCAGTGTGTTTTTGATGCATTCCAATTCATTTTTCCCCCTTTTTCTTCAATTAAAATAGGGACACGTGCGTTCCAGTACGTTTTTGGTGCATTCCAGTGTGTTCTGGCCAGTTCACACTACAAAAACACACTCTGGATGCATTCCAGATACGTTTTTTGCTTACAGTTCACACCACACGCAGTTACGGTGCAGTTCTGATGCAGTTTGCTATGTTCCAGCATGGTTTTGTGCAGAAAAAATGCATCAGTTTCTACTTTTTGTTTGCACCAGAAACTGACTGGAATTGACTGCACTGGTGTGAACTAGGGCCATTGGAATACATGGAAAACACAGTGCATGCTTTTTTGATGCAGAAAAAAAGCAACTGAAACACATGTAGTGTGAACTGGGGCAAGTTCACACTACAAAAACGCACTCTGGAAGCATTCTGAATACGTTTTTGCTTACAGTTCACACCACATGCAGTTCCGGTACAGTTTTGATGCAGTTTGCTGTGTTCCAGAATGGTTCTGTGCAGACAAAATGCAGCATGTTCTACTTTTTTCTTCACCGGAAACTGACTGGAAATGACTGCACTATAGTGTGAACCAGGGCCATACATACATGGAATACATGGAAATCACTGCGCATGCATTTTTGATGCAGAAAAAAAGTGCACTGAACTGCATTTAGAGTGAACTAGCCCTAAGGGCCAGTTCACACTATAGAAATGCAGTCCAGATGTGTTCTGTATGTGTTTTTGCATGCGCATTTTTGACCCGTTCTGCTGTGTTTTTAACTAGTTGCCGACCGCAGATAGCTGAATGACGGCTTCACTGCGGCCGGCCAGTTCTGAGTGGACGTCATATGACGTCCTCCCAGAACGCGCTCTCCTGCGCGCCCCCGGCGATCTCCGTGATCGCTGTGTCCTACGGACACAGCTGATCACGTGATGTGGTAAAAGGCCAATCACACCGGCCTTTTACCACGTGATCAGCGGTGTCCAATGACACGCTGATCAGAGGGAAATGCAAGTGCCGATTCTCGGCTGCACTTTCCTCACGCTGTCAGATCGTGAGGAAAGTACTGCCGAGAACCGGCAGTTGTCAGAGCGGGGATCGGCACCGATCATCAGGGCACTGATGATCAGTGCCCTGATGATCGGTGCCCAGCAGTGCCACCCGCAAGTTCCGCCCACCTGTGCCCTGCAGTGCGCCCACTAGCTCCGCCCACCTGTGCCCAGCAGATCACCCACCTGTGCCCAGCAGTGCACCCACCTGTGCCCAGCAGTGCACCCACCTGTGCCACTCTGCAGTGTCACACACCTGTGCCCAGAAGTGCCACCTACCTGTGCCCAGCAGTGCCACCCACCTGTGCCCACCAGTGCCACCCACCTGTGCCCACCCACCAGTGCTGCCCACCAGTGCCACCCACCAGTGCAGCCCAGCAGTGCTGCCAGTCAGTGCCACCAGTCAGTGCCCAGCGGTTGTGCCAGTCAGTGCCGCCAGTCAGTGCCCAGCAGTGATGCCAGTCAGTGCCGTCTATCAGTACCCATCATCAGTGTCACCTATCAGTGCCGCCTATCAGTGCTGCATATTAGTGCCGCCTATCCGTGACACCTCATTAGTGCTGCCTATCAGTGCCGCCTATCCGTGCCACCTCATTAGTACTGCCTATCAGTGCCCTTTAGTGCTGCCTATCAGTGCCGCCTATCAGTGCCCATCAGTGCTGCCTCATCAACGCACATCAGTGAAGGAGAAAAAATACCTGTTTGAAAAATTTTATAATAGAAACAAACTTTTTTCTTTTTCAAATTTTTTGCACTTTTTTTATTTATAGCGCAAAAAGTAAAGTGCCCAGTGGCGATTAAATACCACCAAAAGAAAGCTCTATTTGTGAGAAAAAAATTATCAAAATTTCATATGGGTACAATGTTTGCATGACCGCGCAATTGTCAATCAAAGTGCGGCAGCGCTGAAAGCTGAAAATTGGCCTGGTAAATAAGGGGGTTTAAGCGCCTGGTAGGCAAGTGGTTAATGCGTTTTAGTACGCTTTTTATGCATTCCAAACAATTTTTTCCCCTCTCTTGTTATTCAATTTAAAGGTAAATTTATCAAAATCAAGTACAAATACATAAACAAAAGAAAAACATCAAAGGTGGTTATGATCCATGTGGATACATAAAGATAGTGCAATATAATAGTGAGCGGAAAGGATCGATAACTGATATTATGGAGGTAGAACATAACAGACTGTCGGGGGGGAGGGTATCCCCTGGCACGGTGTATGGACCAATATGAAAAAACACTGCACAACCAAGATGATAAATCATAATTGAGGAGAAAGACAGAAAGAAAAAGAGAAGAGAAAAAAAAAAGTTCTTCAATTTAAATAGGACAAATGCATTCCAGTACGTTTTTGGTGCGTTCCAGTGCATTTTGTATTTACAACGTTCCAGTACAGTTCTGTGTAGAAAAAATGCTCTACTTTTTTTTCTGCATCTGGAACGCACTGGAACTGCAAGCACTGATGTGAACAATGACATTGACAACCGAATAACCTACTTTCTGTGTGTTCTAATGCAGAAAAAATGCAACTGAAAAGCATGTAGTGTGAACTGGCCCCACAGGCTTCTAAAAGCTTTATGTGTATGTGTGGACGCATAGAATAACATGGAGGGGCATTCGGAAGCAGTAAAAAAACCCCAAAATGATGACACTCCTAAAATCAGCATTAATGCCCTGTGTGCATGAGGCCAGACAGGTACACAGCTTGTGGGATCCTGAGTGTTGATTTTGATTGCATTGTGTATATTCCTGGCAGTGCACACCTGTCATATCCTGTGGACAGAGCATCAGATTGCTGTCATGTGGGTCAGGGGACATGGCATGAGTCACCCTCATTTCTAATGTGTACAAGGATGTCAATGAACACTTTCTTTCCCCTTGGTCATCCTCATCATTTCCCCTGAGTTTCAGTGCTGGTGATACTGGGGAATTCTCTGTGCAGCTGATGACACACTCCATAAAGTGACGAGGCTGCCAAACAGAGGGGGGAGGTGACGGGAGGGTGAAACCACTCATTGTTGTGACAAAACAGAGAATCCAGCCCAACTGGTTTCATGGCTCCTGGTGAGTTTCTGTGAGATGGAGAACCGGATCGATGCAGACAAACTCCTCCCCAAGGTGCTGGGGCTATATCTACCTTTGTAGGTTCCCACATCCCTCACATTCCTCATCAGCCAAGAGGCAGCACACCTTGACATCTCCAGCAGCAGCAGCAGCAGCAGCGGATCGAGCATCCACCCATGGCTTCTCTGGGTCTGCAGGTGTTGGGCATCGCCCTCTCTATCATAGGATGGCTGGGCACTTTGATCACCTGTGCTCTCCCTATGTGGAGGGTGACAGCCTTCATCGGGAACAACATCGTGGTGGCCCAGATCGTTTGGGAAGGACTATGGATGAACTGCGTGGTGCAGAGCACAGGGCAGATGCAGTGCAAGATCTATGACTCCATGCTGGCCCTTCCTCAGGACCTCCAGGCAGCCAGAGCCCTGGTGGTCATCGCCATCATTGTGGCCCTCCTGGGAGTGCTCATGGCCATCATTGGAGGCAAGTGCACCAACTGCGTGGAAGATGAGTCTGCCAAGGCTAAGGTCATGATCGTCGCTGGCATCATCTTCATCCTGGCCGGAATCCTCACCTTGATCCCAGTGTCCTGGTCCGCCAACAACATCATCCGAGACTTCTACAATCCTCTGGTGGTGGAAGCTCAGAAGAGAGAGCTGGGGGCATCGCTGTACATTGGCTGGGGGCGGCCGCTGCCTTGCTCCTCCTGGGCGGTGCCATGCTGTGCTGCAACTGCCCACCAAGGGACCAGAAGCCTTACTCTGCCAAATACTCCGCAGCACGATCTGGACCAGCCAGCAACTACGTGTAATCAGCCCTACGGGGACGCCGACTGCCTTGTCCAGGAGCCAACGAAGGACACGAGGACTTTGAACCTTTATTCACCATCTACTTCATTATTGTTACAAACTTTGGATTTGCCACATAAGATCAATGGTGACTTTGGCTGTTTTTTTTTTTTTTTTTTTTTAAGACTGTGAACTGAACAAACCTAGGCAGGGAACACTTGCCCCACCCAGCAGAGGACGCTGTCATTGACTGTTAAGATCGATGAAGACGGAAAAACAAAATCACTAATCATTTGGGTGGAGGCTACGACCGGGATTTTGGGTGGGGAAAGTGTTACCTGTTGAGTGAGTCTGCACCAGGTTGGGCTACACAGGCGCTTGGTGACAGCTGCTAGAGCTCTACACGCCCCTGGTGGTCATTGTTGTGTACTGCAGGAAAAGAGCTTTGGCAAGCCACAGACCGTCAGCGAACTCAGGGAAACGTATCAGTAGAATCTGGGAGGCCTACTGAGATATATCTAGGCACAGAGGGAGGGGGAGAGAAACTAGAGTCTGCTTCTGAGCTGCAAGCCAGTGATTTAATATAAAAAAAAGAATATGGAGGTTAATTAATTTCAGTATTCGATATTTCACGCCGGGCAAATCGCTGAAGCGCAGCTCCCACTCACCATTTGGCGCAGTGGGGGTTGTTCAGAATGCTTTTGATGATTTTTTTTATTTTCAGTGCTTAGTCGATTTGCCCAAATCAGGATGTGATGATACAGCAACATACTACTTACGCTTGATTTAAATACTGTTATGTATATTTAAGAAAAACAAAACTGTACCTGGTCTGTACAGTCTTAACGCAATATAGCGCCTTTATAAATCTGCATTATTTTCCCTCCATGTTATTACAGATATCCCTGTTAGTATAATATTGATCAGTGCAAACTGTACATAGCTGAATATTCATGCAAAGTTTGTACAAAGTCTGTAAAATGTCAATGTGCAAAGCCAAATGAATGCCTTTTTTAAATTGTTATTTTTGTATTTTGTAAATGTTTATGCTTTTTCCAAATAATACATGTTTCTACAATAAAAAAAAACTTACTCTTTCTCTAATTGTATTTTTATATTGTTTAAGTCATGTGTGAAAATGGCTGAATATGTGATTTATAATAGTATGGTATGATGGTGGAATTGAAGGGAGGTTGCTGTGTGTTGGAAAGGTGCCTGGATGTGTGTGGGATGAGTTATCTGCATGTTTGTGTTTAAGGTTAAGCAAGGTTAAATGCCAGAAACAAGGTTTAGCATTATGTATTAAATATAACCGTCAATTAAGCTCTAAACGTTTACATACAATTTGATCTATATCGATATTAATTTACGCACAGAGGGAAGGAAACAATCTGTCATTGTAATTTATTTATATTTCACTAATATATCATTTTAAAAGCGAACGTTATCCTAAAGTATATAAAATGTAAAGTAAAATGTGAATTGGTCTATTCAAGAACTTATTCAGGTATGTGTAAATTCCATCTGATCATCTAATAGTTGGTTATAAGGAATCCAGTGGCAAGATCTGAGAACCCAGACTGGTAAGTCCACCATAGAGTGGTATTTCAGTTAAAGAAGAACTTTGGCAAAATCTTTATTTTTCCATGCATCACACTGCATGAGTTATCTGCTCATTTTGTCCAGGAGCACAAGGAAACACTATACTTACCCGATCCTCTGGAAAACAGTGCTCTCCAAATCCAGCAGTGGACCATTCCTGCTGTTCTCATGTCCAGAGTTGGTCTATGGGCGTGATGACATCAGGAACAGTTCATTCACAAGACCACTAGCATGCATGGCGGGGGGGGGGGGGGGGGCAGGGACCGGTCTTGCGCTAGGAGGATCGGCAGATTAATTAAATATATCTCCACTCTGCATTCCCCTAGACCAGGGGTCTGCAGACTGTTGAAGCAAAGGGCCAGTTTACTGCCCTTCAAACTTTAGGGGGGTCAGACTTTGGCCAGTGGGAGTAGAAAATGCCTTGACATCATTGGGAGTACACAAAGCCATAGGGTATGGTGGTCAGTGGGAGTAAAAAAAAAATCATAATTTGTGTCAGTGGGAGGAATAGTGCCTGTTCATTGGTGTCACTGGGAGGAATAGTGCCTGTTCATTGGTGTCAGTAGGAGGAATAGTAGCTCCTTTATTGGTGTCAATAGAAGAATTAGTTCCCCATCTCTGGTGGGAAAGAATAATAACCCATTGTGTTGGTGGTAGTGGGAGGAATAGTGCCCCAAGGGCCAGATAAAGACAAGCAAAGGGCCACATCTGGCCCAAGGACTGCAGTTTGGAGACCCCTGGCCTAGACAAAAATGAGCAGTTAACCCCATGCATTGTGGGCACAGCTCCACTGCAAGGGAAAATAACAATTTTGCCCAGAGTATTTCTTCAAAGGTGTAATCTAAAGAGTTGAATCCCACCATGGCTTCTTATGTATCTAAGGTCTTCGAGTGGCTCAAAACTCTGTGCAACAGTTCCCAGCAGTCTTCCTGCCCACCTTGAAGTGTCCTCAGTCCTCTCCACAAACAAATGAAAGTTAAGGTATTTTGCCATGAAAGTGGGCAGACTTGGAAGTTCAAATGCAGATAATTTACTACCCAAGAGACACACAAAAAGCTGTAAGAGAGGTGGTAACTTTCCAGAATATAGCAGTCATTGAAATGTTAATTTGTGGTCAATCGACCTTTTCAGGTTTAAGGTCAATCATGGTCAATACTAGAGGATTTCACTCTCTCAATAGGTCATATTTCATATTGTGGAGAATGCTTTTGGAGAAATTAGACTTTCACTGCTGTGTCACAAAGTGTAAAGGTACCGTAGCCAGAGGCAAGGGCATGGTCCAACCACTCTTTGCCACATTATTCGGATGGCAAATCAATAAAAGTTTCAATCCGCAAATCAACAAGGAGAAAGACTTCCCATGATAGACATGCCAAGATATAATATCAGGTGGGTTAGTGTGATCTGCGATGTTTATTGGTGATCATCGACTTGGTATGTAGTCATATAAACACATTCCCTAAGTAAGTGGACGCATGTGTACAGTAGTTTTGTTCTCGCAGTGTATTCCTTGGCTATGTACTAGATCTTGGGCAACCACTTAATTTGCAGTGAAACTGAACCAGGTGCTTCTCCTAGAACAGATAGTACTCTCAGCCAAATGTTTTGTCAGATGCTTATTTAACCTTATGCAAATTCCTTGAAAAAAACAACACAGGGTACCATGAGGTGCCTGGTGCCATTATTACCACAAACTTTATCAGATTCTATGGCTGGACCATCCCCCAGATTCCGTCATTAGTTCCAAGGTAGAACTTAGGAAATGAGGATTAAAACAAAAAAAAAAACAGTGGATGAGTTTAATAAAACTTAAGGGTGAATGATACCTAGGCCTAAGGTATGAAGTGAGGTTATCCCTATATGAACTTCCTGTGCCCATACAAACAGGAATGAGCTTTCGAAAATAGAGCTTTTATCTCCACTTGACTGGATGGGTTTAACCATGGTAACAATTCTCGAGCCAGGGGGGGGTTGCACACGTTCAGGTATGAATATGGGTTCAAGGCGAGGTACACCAATCACTTTGTTGTTGCTTATGATTTTTAACCAGTGGGTAATATGGTTTACAAAAGTGGGGGTAGGTGAATGTGATATTCAAAACTATTGGAGGGGGGCCCTGTGATCTTTTTCTGGTGTATGTGGTTTTAAATTACTGGACTTAATTCACTTGCAGTGAATGTTTGGTATGGGAAGGTGTTTCACATTTAATGCTTTATATTTATATACAAACTAATGTTATTTGGTAGGGACAATTAATTACTTTATTTTATTGCTTGAATTAGGAAAATGGAAAAAACAAAACAAAAATTTTTTGCCCTCATTCACAGCTCACGTCCCTGCACCCCTTTTTATCCACCTTTTTCATGGACATTGCTTGGACAGTCTCATTTTTTGTTCAGTTGTCCCGAATGGAGACTGTGTCCAAGGAAATGAGCACAGGATTTTCATTGTTTGAATGGGGGGGGGGGGGGTGGGTAGGGGGGTGGGGGGGGGTGGGGGGGGGGAGTGGGGAGGTGGGGTGGCAACAATGGTGGATGGCAGTAGAGGAAGGATAGCGAAGGTGAACTGTGGAGGAGGGGTGCAGAGGCAATTTGTGGATGATGGATGCACCCGATGGACAGTGGGATGAAGGGGCCGAGGATGAAAGGAGGTGCAGAAGTGCCTAGAGTGAGGAAAATGAGTGTGTAGGAGGGTGTGCAGAAGCTGTGGTGATGAGTTGCTAATGAGGCTAAGTGGTGAATAAGAGGTGAGAAGCATGCTGTTGATCGATGGCATGCAAGATGGGCAAGGTAGTGGGTAATGGTATTCAAAGCCCAAATGATTGAGTGAGTTGTGCACGGCAGAGCTGTGGATAGAGAGTACAGAGGCAAGCAGTGGATGGGGGATGCAGAGAGAGGACAGGCCGCAGTGGCAAATTTTTCTTTTTTTTTTTATTTATTGCTGGGGGGGGGTTTTTATTGCATTTTTTTTCTTTTGCTTTATTTGCTTTTTTATTTGATTTCTTTTTTAATTTTTAATTTTTTTTTATTTTTTTTTTGCATTTTTACTGACGTTTTTTTTTTTTTTCTTCCATTTTTTTCTTCAGTTTTTTTTTTAGCTTTATTTATTTTTATTTATTTTATAGCAATTTTATTAGTTTTATTTTATTACTACAGTTTTGTTTATATTTTTTTATATTGATTTTTACAGCTTAATTTGTGGACACATATGCTTACTTCTTTTTTTTTTTTGTATTAGGCTTCTTCTTACATTTGGTGGCCAGTCATTTTTAGTGTATTTATACCTTTTGCCAGCTCAGCCCGTAATAATATTTTACACGTTTTAATAATTTTTTTTTTTTATTACCATTTTTTTTAGGGCCATTTACGTTCAGGGATTCATTTGCCAGAACTCATTTTACTCTGGTTGGGATTACGGTGTTTCCTTTTTTATAGTTTATTTTTTTCTATTTGCGCTAAATTTTTAATTTTTTTCTTTTATTTTTTTTCTGATTTTTCTACTAGACCTAATTTCTTTATTTTTCTGTTACATTTATGGGCAGCATTCTTGTTTTTTAATATTTTTAGCATTCTACCGCCTATTCGAGTATT